AATAATTTAGGTAATTTTACGAGGTGGCACAGGTTTAAGAACAGGGACTGAGAAAAGTGTGTAAGGAAGACTTCTATTCAGGGTGCTACAGTGATTGCTCAGAAGGCATGCCTTTCCAGCAGAGCAGGGAGACCAGTGGTGTAGGTGAGTAATTTAGCCCTTTGGCTGAAGAATAAAAGACTGATATTATCAAATCCAGCTTTAGATGAATGCTGGGCAACCTGGGACCTCAGAAGCATGGGTAGTAGCAGTACAGGTTTTTACCTGCAAGTGTAAGGGTATGTCCTGTGCTTCAGGAGCTTGTTAGATGCTCTGCACTGATGTGGTAGATATATGGTAGAAATGCCAGCTATGCAACACGTGTAAGGTAAATCAGGATTTAATTCATATATCTAACATTTCCTGGAAGGGTGCAGACCTATTATGCAAACACATGCTATCCTGTGATGTGGTGGGAGGACTTGCTAAAGATGCTCCCACCATAGCACAACCTCATCTTTTCAGAGCCTGTGTCCAGGATGAAAGGATCAAGCCCAGTGGGGAGGGCAGGTGTCATACAGATCTGAACAGGCCAAGAAAAAGCACACGTCTGGGGAGCTGTGTGAGCAGGAATACAGGTATGTGTGGACTCTTGGTGCCTCTCAGAAAAGTCTCTATTGAGGGAGTTTAGAGGTTCTGAATTTTGGAAATAGGCATGCCCCAGGCCTAGATACAGGAAATATGGTTGAAATATGGTAGTAGCAATTTAGCAAAGTTCAATGCAAACCCTGATAGGAGGAGAAGATTATTTAATTTAAAATTAAAGCTGAAGTAAAATCAATTTTACTAACTTATACTCACAGCATCACTCCCACAACAAGTTATCAGTATACAGACAGTCTGTTCAACATATAGGCAACAAGACACTTATATCCAAGCAGTCTGTTTAGGATTCTTTGAGATAACATGAGATAAAGGATGTCAGCTGCTGCGTCCCATCCCATTCTATCTCACCTCTGTCATCAGGGCTTGGTGGTCTGAACTGGGTGTCCTGAAAAGCTGTGAGTGCAAGGCTCCAGGTGATCTGCTTAGCCAGGTGCCATCAGCCCATGCTATTCATATAATGTTTCATATAACATTTCTCCTGTGCCCTTTCCCTCTGGAGTTTTCACACCAAATATTGGACATATTAGAGTAACTTGGGATGTTCCTCAGTGTGACTGGGAGCTTAATGAAACCCCAGCTTCACAAAAGGAAACACCAAAATTTTTCTGAATTACATTTCAAAGTAAGATTTTGTCTGGCACATGTAAATTCATTGTTGTACACAATCCAGATAAACTGATAAAAGATGAGGCACTTGTTTAAACTGCTTTTCTTGAAGAAACCATAGAAAAATGCATTACAAAACAAAGGCCAAAAAAGTGGAAATCTAAACCATTGCAGTTTTAGAATTGTATCCTTGTCATGACTAATAATTCATTCCAACAATTTATCAGGCACAAATTACCAGTAATGCTGAAAAATTGTGGTAATCCAATGGCTGCCTCTTTCTTTAATGTTTTTCTGTGTTTCAGGCCAATGAACTAACATTTATTTTGAAAATAGACCTTGCTTCCTGGAGTTGTCCTTGGAAGACAGTCCCTGAAAGAATTAATGTTTTACATACTTACAGTGTTTCTTTAATCTTTAATTGTTTCCTTACACTTCTGTCCCCATATGTGGTCTGCGATTTTACCTCTCTTATTTACATTAGCCAGAGAACAGATTTTGTTTTCTGAGTTCATTCATTTATGTAGCTTTGGGCAAATTTAATTGTATGGTTATACAGACTGACTCTAGGAAACATCATGGAAATTATTATCTAAAACATACTAGCCCTGATCTATTCATTTAAAGATTACTGAGTAATCCTGTCAAAGTCCAAAAGCTAGATGCTGTTGTAAGCATTACTTGTAGGAGTAACATTTGCTTTTTCTTTATCTTAATTTCTGAAGGTGGCAAGGTGACATTTCCTTCTCTCTCCTCTTCCCTACCCCCCACCTCTTTTTTTTTTTCCTTCTTGATGTTAGAGCTCTGTCCTCAGCTAGTGTAAACTGAAATCCTTCAATAAAGTCAGAATGATTTAGACCAACTAAATCACTCAACCTCCCTTTATGTACAGACTTTGTGCTCTCTCTCTGTGCTTCCAGCTGTGCACTCCTTTGCCGATGGCCTCTTACAGCTCACAAAAGGCTATGTCAGTTTAACTTTTGTTGCTTTCCTCATATAAAAATCTTTGTGGAGGAACTTCATTAATATAATTTAGAAAAATATGATACACCCTGTCTAAAAGAAACAGCCTTGGATCACATTTCAAGCAGAGCAGTGTATATCAAACTTTGTTTTCATCTTAAAAACTCAGGGTCTGCTAGTGATCTTTGTTTCTACCAGACTCTGGTTCTGTGGTCAATAAGACTAAGTTTTACTTTTCTGGACTGCTTAGTAGTACAAGTTTGATAAAGACATGTCAAACAAAGTCCACACTCTGCTTCCTATTCTTATATACTGTGGGACGCTCATTCTGTCATTCCCTGGGGTCATTCTGGGACGGCTTACCTTTACCATTCAAACTTGAGCCACTTCCCTGCATGAAGTCCAGAACAAGTCCGTGAGTTTTATCCCATAATTGGCAGGTTGATATGGTATCTGCTTATCAAAATAATGCTAGTGGGATTTTTTTTTACTTTTAAGGTGTACTCGGGGATGGGAAATAAGAGCATCCCTCACTATGAAACACATATAGAAGGTAAGATACAATTGCATACGTGCATTGCAGGGTGATCCCCTGCTAGGTACATTCTGTCTTCCTTTCAGCCTGGCACATAAACTTCCAAGAAGAGGATGGTGCAAGACATGCAAAGAAGGTTTTCAGGACAGGAAAGAAGAATTTTCTGGAAATCTGTCCAAAACTCCATGAATTGAGCAACCTACTCAATTTCAATTGAGAAGACAGTATCTGAAGCTGAAAAAACAAACTTACACTAGTCTTTTGATCTTCACTTTGGAATTAGAATTCAGCCAGAAAGGTATTAGGTGAATAATATTATTATTCTTTGACATTATTTTACAACATTATTATTATTATTTATGAATATTATTATTCTTTGTAAAAATAAGGTTTGTTGACTGGTTATAAGTTCAAGATATCAAAGATGACTCAGAAATATTTTAATAAAAACAAGCAACTACTATATTGTGTTTTGATTTTTATGATATTTTAATTCCATATTTTTTAATTGTTTATAATTAATTGGGTGGCTGTTAATTCACTAAAAACACCATGAAGACTGAAAGTTTAGTGAATGTTAATAGCAATTCACTAAGGTTTTATGGTGCACTTATAACTTCCTCGTTCTGTTGCTCTAAGAGTTATTTCTGTTCTTCAGTTCCATTAAGTCTTCCAGCCAGACCTTTTTAGTTCTTGATACACACAACACTGGATTTTCAAATGGTTGCTTCTTTCCTGCTAAAACCACTTCTGTAGAACAAGTCCAGAAAAAAGAGATTCCCAAAGAACTCTGAGGCTAAATTTCATAGTAAGTTATTTTGAAAATACTTAACAAAAATGCCCAAGACCTACATACAGGGAACTCTAACTGGTTAGATTGGTCAGCTAACAATTAATAGTCTAAAGTAGTATCAAATTGTGTTGGGTAGATTATTCATGGTTTTGAATATAAAATGGAAAGTACTGGCTTGTGGTAATGTAACCATAATCAGCTGCCTTGGCTTGTCAAAAATGCCTCTAATCTATTTTCTTAATGTCTATCATTTTCCACTAAAAAATGAGGCTTGAGAAATGGTTGAACTTTAAAATACTTTACAGGAAAAAACTTTTGATCATTTACAACACTCATATTTCTTTTAAGGAAGGTCAAGACTTTTAGAATTGAAATGTATCTTGTCCTTTTTGGAGAGGAAATACATTGAGCCTTTTACTATATAATTTTTGCTCTTACCAGTTTGAAAGAATACAACCATAGTGAAGATGATTGTATGTGTCAAACTAAATTATATGACTCTTCCTTGTACATAGACTAGCTCTGAATCTTTTCACTCAAAGTGATAGTTTCCTCTGTGGGAAACAACAAGCCATCTTGTTTGTTATAAACTACAAATCAAATTGCCTTGCTCTAGCCAGATTTCAGAATCACTTAGCTGCTTTTCAAAATTGTAGCCGTATTCCTTTTTCCAGATTTATCAAAATCCCAGCCCTTAATATTAGTACTAATCCATTCTCTGCTGTAAGGGTGAGTAGGCACAGTGAAGTCACATGCCCTGTTACACCGTTTAATGTCTGCTGACATGAGGCCTAATATAAAATAAGACAGAGAGGCATTTCATGCCATTCAACTGTATTGATGTATTTAAATGAGGGGATTTGCTTGATGTCACTTTGGACGTCTGCAAGTTACATATGTAGCCTGAGCCATAGGTCTGGGTGTCCTGCCTTGGTATTCCCTGGAGGAAACTGGCAGATGACATTTCTTCTGGAACTAGTGACTTACAGCTCATAGATTGAGATAAAATTAATCTTCTAGGGGTAAGGTATTCATTAATTAGGAAAGTGACTTCAGCTAAAAGCTAATCTTTAAATAGTGAATATTTCATGAGATAAATCATATTCTCCATGGCAAGCTTTGAAGGCAGAAGCTGTGCAAGAATTATTTTCTATTAAGAAAATGTTGAGGGGGTTGTGATCACAGAGCACCATAGTTTAACTTGGAACATAGCTCTCATGGAACATTTGCATTTTTTGTCACTGACCATGGCATTGACTTTAATATTTTTGGATTTTAACATCTGCTTTCTGAAATAAGAACACCATCTGTAAAAATAGTTTATGATAATTTCATTTATGTACTATTCAAGTAATTTTATACTTCTATTGTGACCTTTCAGGAGATAGGGATGTAGAAGTAAATAAGGTTGCATAGCACCTTTACAAAGAATTTCAAAATATCAAAGAGGAAAAACAGAACTATTATAAACATTTATTTCAAACTCTTGAAAGTTTAGTTATAACATTTTGATGGGCTGCTTCATGGTCATACTTGAGGGCTGGCTTCTTCCTATCGCTTTTTTGCCAGTGTTGCACAGTTCCCTGTCTTCTGTGCTGAGGACAAGCTATGCAGACAGGCATAGCAAGTCTACTGTACTTTTGACCTGCTGGTTGCCTTTGTTTCCTGTCTACTTGCATTAATATTGGATCATTTGCAGAAGTCATCATGTACAATAAAATAAAGTCAATCTCATAGCATAGCTTCTGCCTGTGATTAAATGGAATAATTAAAAAACATTTCTCCTTCATTCTTCTATGTAGTTTTTGCATGCAGGAGAAGTTGAATAAATATAAAAAGAAGAACAGCACCATAGGTCTCTCTGTTGTAGGTCATCTGGCTTTCAGTTTCTGAAGTTGGCCTCTTGGGAAGGTCTGATGTCTTCCAGCGGAAGGCAGGAGGAAATGAAAACAACCCTGTGGAAAAAGAAAAGAGGAATACAACACTGTGGAAAAAGAAAAGAGGAATATTTTTCCTTCCTTGTGGGATTATATTCCCTTAGGGCTCAGCAGAAGTCTGTACTGCATGCTGAATATGCAGTGGAGGGTTCTGCTATTGCTAATTCTGTGGTAATGACCCAGCAAGATAAAAAAACTAATAGGCTGCCCATGGGTTTAAAATAGTCTTCTAAAAACACATTTTAAAAATAAATGTATTCCAGAAGATGGACTGGAAAGAGAATTTTTTTTTTATATTCTAATTGGAAAAATTCTTGTACATTAAAATTGATGTGAGGTTCTCTACTGAATTCAGTTCGAGTAGACTTTAAAGAAACAGTTCTTGGGAGCTGTGCAGGAAGTGGCCAGCACCAAAGCAGAAGCAGGTCTGTGACACATCCAGATATGTGTGGAGTATTCATGTCACATTACATGTGACAGGTCCTAATGAATAGCTACTGAATAATGAATGCTCACATAATTGTATTTGTCAGCTTCATTACATATTAATGCAGTAAAGTTTTGCTAGTATTTCTACCTAAAACCTTGATATTGAGAGATCTTTCTCAGAAAGTCATCCCAAGAAATATCAGCAGCACCATCTTTTTCAGCAGTTTCTGTCTACTTTTGTTATGTTTAGCTGTTACAGCTTCTTCACCAGCTTTACATTCCTTCTGTGTGTTGTTTTCACTACAAAGCCATATGTTTCTTGTAAATGCTTCTGTTAACTTTTTCTTGATGCTGTCTTCCTATGGTTTCCATGTGGCAGCACACAGACTATTGCCTCTTCTTTTTCACCTTTCAGTACCTTTCCTTATTTCTACAGTCTTCTGCCTGCACTCTCTAAAGGTGTTTTCTGTTCCTTTTTCCTCTGTAGACCTCACTCTCCATGAGCTTTTATTGTGTAAGACGTTGTGTGCAATAAAAGTGCTAATTATGGTTGGCTAAATACAATCCACTGCATGTGGAATTTCTGCAGAAAAGATAGATAGGCTAAGCAATGGCTGACTTTAAAGCATAGAAAATCATATGTTTAATAGTTAAATGATTGGCACTGAAACAAATGCTTTGTCTGGATGTGTGTGCAGGCATCGTTTTCTTAGAAAGTATTTGAGACTTACAAACATAAAGGAAGTGGCAATTCTCTCCAAGATTTTATTCTGTAAAGGTTCAGAGTTCTCCATTGCAATACCAAAATTAATCTGTGAAGACTGTAAGCCCATTTGTTCATCAATTATGGACAAAATAAATGATAACAAAAAAAGTAGTCAAACCTGAAGATTTCTTTTTTTTTTCCACCATTCAGCCCACAGTTTTTTCAGGGTGGCACAAGTGCAAGGTAATACTTTGTAATGTATCAGAGCAAATTTAGATTTGGCCCAAAGGAGCAAGTGACAGGATTTTATAACTTCAGCGGCTTGTTAAACAAGAGATCATATTTTCAGAAGGCTTCATCTGCCCTCACTCAAGATCTCTCAAGAAAAATCTCAAATTACCTAATTTTTCTAATTTTATTGGTCACATTCATACAATATTTTGATTTTGAACTGAACTACCAGGTGCAATAGGAGGTGAAACACTTTAAAGGCATCTTAATAAGTTACTACATAGAAGGCTAAAAATCAGGTATAATGTCAAAAAGGAGAACTTCATGCTTCATGATCTGCACGTGTAAACTTTTCTTGTGCATTCTGAATGTCAGATGAGGTATTTCTTTTCACAAGGTGACCTGGACCTATAGGCAGATGATCCTTTCACATTTAAGCAACAAAACTTTCAGATGATATTATTATGTTCAATTTATCCTAATGTTTAAATGTCTGTTCCTGAAAGCTAGAAGATTACTATTAATGAATATATTTAAAATGAATCTTTACAAATACACCTATGTTTCATAAATTCATTTGCTATGTCATTAATCTGTGTTATTTGCAATCACAAAGCTTGATTGCTCATTGTCTTCCCAGTTAAACAAATGAATACAATTAGTTTTTAATTTGAACCAATCTAATATTTTGTTTTAAATAACAGCTTTTTGATCTCTGAATACATTCATAGCATGCTAACAAAAAGAAAACTGTTACTTTACAAAAATGAAATGTGGTTAGATTTTCTCATATGGATGTAATAAAGAACACTTCTGGTGGCTTGACATTGCACAGCTGAATAGTTTTGACAGGGAAAATAACTATAGTTTAGTCTGAGCTTTGGCAGAACTACAAGTTATTAAATACTTTAAGTAATCCAGTAAGTGAAACTTTGTTATAAGCAGGTTGCTTCAAAGTATATTATCTCCATAGTTACAGACATTTTCATTATATTAGCCTTTTTTTCTTTTTTGGATGTATTGCCTAATTCTTTATTTTTATGATGTTTCTGGGACTGATTGTTTCCTTTTGGAAGTTTTCTTTTTTTCCTAGTTCTCTTCTTGTTTCTTACAAGTAGGTTGAACCTCTTCTGAAAAATAAAACAGAATGTTTGGGTAAAAATTAAAAGTTCAGAGATGCTGTTCAAATCAACTATACTTAAAATAACTTTTTTCTCAATATTGAGTTTTATCTAGGTCTTTCATTTCCTTATTCTGCAAAAATAATACTGCATCACTGTGCATATGTAATTTTGATTATCCTTTGGGCTTCCACTTCCACTTTAATGAGAGTTTATCAGTCTTAATGCACTTCTCTTCTGCTGCCTCTAAGTGCAGATGAGGAAATCAGGACACCTGTGTGGGAGCACATGGCACACAGTGCAGGCACACTGGGATGCCCGAGGGAGTTAGAAACAGGAGAGCTCTGACACCGCTACAGGAAAGACTCCAGCGCTGCACGCCAGCACAGCTGTACTGCTTCCAGGATCTCAGGTAACATCTCTGCTGAGAGTCCTGTGGTGTACTGCATCTGTGTTCTGTGGTCCAACCAGCTGGCCAAGCTCAGATGGGGACTCTGAGTTGGGACAAGGACATCATCTCCACACTTGCAAACTCCACTTCCTCATTGAGGAGACTGCCTCTGCTGCATTCCTTCTGACTTACAAACTACCTGAGCTGAAGGTCACTGAAGCACATTGAAAGGGAACTTACTGAGTATGAGCAGATTTAATTCAGGCCTGGTGCAGAGGTCTGACTCAGTAAATATGCTTTAGAGGAGGTCTCAGTTGGGTGAGCTCTACTGGTGCTCCAGGGTCACATTCTCAGGGTTTGCAACAAATGCCTTTACACTTTATAGAGGGAAAAGTGAAAATCCAAAAAGAGGAAAGGATTAACAGATGGGAATACCCAGCCAAAGGAGGAGAAATCTATGAGTGAAGGTGAGAGAAATGTAGCTGTTGTATATAGGTGATAAGTGTAATATTAAATTTGAAATGCCTCAATCATGGTACCAATATGTTCTACAAAGTCCTTCCAGACATGTCTGTGCTTCCTTAGATAAAGTTATTGTAATTAATGTCTCTATCTAGTGATGATCAATTGGTGAACTTGATATTGAAGTTATGAATTTATTCAATGGACATTTTTTTGTCTGGTAATTGCAGTTATTTTATTTCTGTTATGCAGAAATGTGATTTGAAGTGGCATTGAAGGTAAAACAAGCAAAAGGTGAGGAATGATCATCTTAGTATTCCAGCAGTGTTAGGTGAAAAGTGGGAAACTGACTGGAGGGTGATGGAATAATTTTCCAGAATGTGATTATTTTTCAGACAAAAAAAAAATTAAGTTACCCCACTCAGTATTTTGTTCATGTTTCATAGAATCTGCTTTGATTTATACTGCATATAAATACCATCTTTAAAACTAGTAATGGAATAAATTTTTAATGAGAGTGTATGCAGTGAAATAACCAGTGCTGAAACTCTTCCTGAAAGCAAATGAATTATTGTGAATCATATTATAAACGACAAGGTTTATATAAGGTCATTCTATATCACATTACAAAATAATGTACAAGTGAAGTCATTCTGGCAGTTACTTATGATGAGAGATTTGCTTCTTGAGCTTTATTAGTTTTTAACATTACCCACATTACCAGGGATGCAACACAGGCACTTTTCAAATATTTCTATGGGACAGATAATTTTAACCTTTTATTCACTGGAACAATAAGATATCTTTTGTAGACTGTTCTGTATAAGCCTAACATAAGAATTCTGTGTGAGAGACCATGCAGTTTTATACAAACAATCTTTTGGGACTTACAAATAGTTCTTCTTTTTTTTTTATTTATTTCCTTTTTTATATTATTGTGGACATAATATAAAGTTATTGTTTTTTCTTTATATTCAAAAGGGAACAACATTAGGTATCCAGGGCTGAGCCAACAGTATCTTTATTATTTTGTAATTGTAATCATTTTGAAAAAATTAAGTACATAACAAGTAAAGGTGCAGAAACTTTTTCAAATACATCTACAGGGAGGAGAAAAAAAAATGACTGCTACTGCTGAGTTCAGGACAATATCCTTTATTAATTTAATGAGGAAGCTAAGCGTTGGTCACAGTACCACAAATATAAGGCTTGAATATTACAAAGGAAGGCATCACTTTATGTAGCTCTTCTGCTGGGTACAGGGTAGGTGATAAATTGTGGAACTGATTAGAAGCTGACACCTGAGATTTATAGCAGTCATAATCACAGCTGAGGTTTATAGCAGTCACGATCAGAGTTGAGGGTTGCTGATCTCAGTCACGCAGAGGATGGTGCAGGAAGGGAAGGTGAGCCTTTGTACTGAGCTGTGAGACTGGTGCCAGGTTACAAAGGTCAAATATTCAGTAGCGGTCTTTCCTTTTACAGCTGTATTCCATGTATGAAGGTTGTCTAAGAATTCAGCATAGACAGGGGAAAGGTAGAAATACATATTTTGCTGTGCTTTGATTTTGAATCTGTTTTATGTTTCTTTACCATAATGCTGGAGGAGCCTCAAGGAGTGCTGTATTCCCAGCTCAATAACTTAACAGAGCTGTGACCTAAGCATCCATACTGCAGTGTACACCTTGGGAAAAAAAGAGGAGAAATCAATTCTAGTGATCACAGTTGTTCTGAGTTTCCTGGTGGTGGTCTCAGACCCATTACCCTATTCTGATTTTAAAAATTACCAAATTCTGCAGGAATTTAAGTATTCTGTAGGAACTCTTCCATTCACTGAGTTAATTTCTGCTTATAAAAATACAACTCTTCAGAAAACATTATTCAATTTATGTCAATAATGAAGTGTATTGGATCTTGCTGAGGTGGAGTTAATTTCCCCCATAACAACCCTCATAACCCTGTGCTACCATAGCTGGTAGCAAGAAAGGTGTTGATAACACATCAGTTTTTCGGCTGCTGCTCAGCAGTGCTCATATAGCATCAAGGCTGTCCCTCCACCATTCCCTCCTCACCAGCAGGCTGAGGGTGGGCAAGAGCCTGGGAGAGGACACAGCCAGGAGGGCTGGCACAAATTGACCAAAGGGGTATTCCATACCAGATGATGTCTGCTCACAATAAAAGCTACGAGAAAAGAGGAGGAAGGGGGACATTTGTTATTTACCTTTGTCTTCTGGAACAACTGCTACGCACACTGAAGCCCTACTTCCCAGAACATCACCTGCTGAAGGGAAGCAGAGAATAAAATCTTTTCCCCCTTGCATCTGTATTAAACTGCCGTTATCTTGATCCACAAGAGTTTTTTTTCCATCTTGTTTTCTTCTCACCCTGTCCTGCTGCAAAGAGGAGTGATAGAACAGCTCGGTGGGCACCTTGCTTTCAGTCAAGGTCAACTCACACATCACGAGTCTAAAAATGTGTTTACCATGTTTAAAAGCTCCTACCCGTTTTCTCCCCAGACAAAACTCACTTAGTAAGAGGTACATCGGGCCTAGAGAAAAGAAATAAATATTTAAATCCTCAACTTGCAGGTACTAAAAATAGTGTTGTCACAGGTGGTATTTTTCTGAAGACCAACCAATAGGTTGGAATGTATAAATGCAGAATGGAGCAGAAAAAGGCTGCAAAGTCCTGTCTTCCTTTAAATTTGTAGCAAAACTCCATTAGTTCCAGCAGCATCTAAATTTCTTTTTGAGGCTCCTTGACAGTAGATCTGTTACCACACAGAAAATGGGTGTGTACCTGGAAATCTGGATGGTCTTGCTAAGGAAACAAGAGAGGATGTGTAGGCTTTTGTTCTGCATCATCCTGTAGGAGACCTTATGTCCACTGACAGCACAGGGATTCCTGTGGGACTAGCAGCTGGCTTTGAGACTTCTATTCATTGTTGGAAATGGAAGTACCATAAAAACCCCATATTCAGCATGCACCCTCCATTCTCCTGATGGGTTTACGATGGTATCATCGTGTAAAGATAAATCACATGTTCATATGGACCAGGACTAGCAATTTGTTTTAACTTAGCTCAGTGAGGCTCTATGATACATGATTGGTTTTCACATTACTGAAATATAAATATTTTGTCACAAGTAAAATAATTCTAGTGTCTTATAATGTTTAATTGCATGTGCGTTTGTGTTAGTTTCTTTAAAAATGGCAACATACAATCTGTAACATGGGTTGCAACTCTAAGCAGCACGACACAGCTTTGTGAAAATATTCAGCACTTGCACAGGTGGAAACCAGCAAAACTGTGAATCTTTATGCAATATGAATAAATGTTATAAACCCATATTTCCAATTAATTTAGATTTTATCCCACCAACGTGTTCATCAACGTGTTCTATAAACAGAGTTGGTATTCTACACTGATCTAACCTGTGACAATAGATTTACTCAAACTAATCCTTGCCCAATCTTACTGTAGAGCAATATGTGGGTAAAGCAGGGGGAAGAGAGAAAAGTGCATCTGTCTTCATGGCTCACGATTCCATTTGCTGTTACTGGGGCTAATGCCATTTACTATTATCTGCTAAAAGTTCTTTGACCTGCAGACCAGATCATGATTGCTAGTAAAACATCACAAACCACATTTGAAACAGTAAAAAATAAGTGAACAGAAAATGCCCCCATTGGGGGCAAATGAAACGTTTTCATGTTTTTGTTTTGTTTTGTTTTGTTTTTTAATTGATAAAACTGGACTGCTGCACAAAAGCTAATACTGAGTAGTATAATCATGTGAAAGAACTGCATATTTTAAGGAAAAAGTGTGTTCACTTAATTTCAATGTCTTAAAGCTTTCTGGATTTAAACTTTCTCAGGGGTTTACAGAAAAAAGTAATTTATGTAAAGAGGAAGGGATTCTTTGCACAAGTACAGCAGTAATAGCTGTGGTATGTACTTTTAGGTCTGCAAAATTACTTTTTCTGGAGAAAGCAGTTCATGAAGTTTCCACAGCTAAGGCCAATTTGCACAATCCAAGTAAATGTTCTGAGGTATTCTCTGAGGGCTAAAGTGCTGAATACACCCACCATACTTCCTTGACTGGCAGTGGTCATGGGAGCCCTGGGTCATAGGCACCCTCTCTTACATGTCCTCTGAAGTCATTTAACTTCTGAACCTTTCTTTATGCCCCATTATCACAGAATTATAATTAGTAGTAGTACTAGTTAATGAGATTTTATTGTTCAGTAACTCAAAGGCAAAATGCAGACTTATTTCCAGGGAATGAAAGGAAAACTTGCATTATCTTCAGGGTTGTGGTAAGATTTTACACAGTGGGTGTGGACCTTTTTTTGCAGGATTTTGCATTACGTTCCTCGCATTCAGTACACATGGGGAAAGGAGGGGACGTATACAACTTCTCTCTTCACCATATAACATTAAAATACAAAGAATATACCTCCTTTGTTTTTTGTGGTTTTGCATTAAGGGTGCAGCTTTGGCCCTCCATGTTGTCCAACAATCTGCTAAAACTTTCCAGCAGCTACATTTTTCAGTGAAGCCAAGTACAGTATGAGGTTTTCCAAAAGGTGAATGAAACAATCCATTGAAAATGTCAGTCAGAAGCCAGAACATAATTTTATTTATTTTTTTGATCCTTGTTCAGAATTCATATGATTAGCATGTGGCAAGCTGTAAAATGAAGTGGAACAAAAGCGCCTGAAATAAATTTCACCTTGACCTGATTTCCACTTGACTGAATTTGTTGTAGTAAACTGGTGACACATAGTGGATAAACAGTAACACATGTCTGCATTTGAAAAGGGAGAACAGATGGTAAACACACTGATATAAGGGCTGTTACACAAGAGCTCTGTGTATAATTCAGAAAGGTCAAGTCCCCTGAAAGCCGAAACAAGTTTGATAAGGGAAAGTGATTCATTGACAAGAAGGAGCCAAGTGGGCACAATTAAAGCAGATGAGGCTTCCCACTCCTCAGTGGGTTTTACTCATAAAAGGCATCTGGTCACATCTGTCTCTTTCTGTAAAACTAGTCAGAGGTGTTAGTCACAGGGATACTTGTTCTGAAAGGCGCTTCCTCAGAGGATACCACTCCCTAGTCCACTCGTTGAATTTATGCCACTCCTCTAAAAACTCCTCTTGTACAACAGTGAAATTCATGTTTCTTTATGGTTTGGAAAATATTTCTACCTTCCAAAGATTGATTTACTGGTTCTTGGCTTCTGCAATGTGGATTACCTTCTCCAGCTGGTGACTTTAGCTGACCGTGAGCACCACAATAGGTAAAGGAGTCAAAGCCAAGTTTGGGAAGGCAGCTGTCTTTGAATCTTTATTGTCTGTATATTCCGTTGGTGTGCAAGAAGTAGTACTGTCCTTATTTCACATATTGGGACTAAGTAACTCATCCAGTGGCTATCTGGGGTAGAGTAATGAGCAGAACAGAGACCTCCCAGGTCCTAAGTATATCCCTGCACACTGAACTGCTTTTTGTCAGAAACACAGTGGAAAGATTTGGTCAAGATGGACTTTAAAAAGAAAGGAGCTACTCAGCCTCACAGGCGGTTGAAGTATTCATGGCCAGTAAAAGAAAAGAGCAAGAAAAAAGGAAGATGAAAATCCAAATCACAGTTCATTAGCCACTGGTGGCAGTAGTGGTGGTGATAAACTCCTAGCCTGAGCTCCAGCAGTAACTCAAGAAATCTAAGTTAAAAAAAGCTATGTACATGAAAATATGATTAACTTTGCAAGGACCTGTGTTTTGTCTTGTAGTATAATTCTAGAATCTTAATTTTTACTGGTAAGAAATACACAAAAATATATCCAATAAGAGTGTCAGATTTTTAGTCATTTAGCAGAAAATAACTTCTGCAAATTATGAAGATTTTAGTTCTCAAAATTATTCAAAACTATTTAAATGTAATTAATGGTGTAATAGTTATTCATCTTTAAAGTTAGTTTCTACTGTTAAAAATATACTTAGAGAGTATTATTTGTAAACCATATTTTTCCAATCAATTCTTGGCAGGAGACTATAAATTTAAAATTGAAGTTGCTCTGTTTAAGGACTCGTAGAAAACAGAGATGGAGTGAAAAATTAGGTGCTGAAGCCAGGCATGTTGAATGTTCAGCTTGTATCTGTTTTCAAGAACTAACAATGCCAAAGCCATTTCACTTGTGACTTATTTAACAGCTGTCTGCAACTGGAGATCCAAATTTAGTTTCTTATCGTATCTTTTACTCAAGGGGCTACTTATCCCCTTAAACCAAAAGAAAGCCAAGCCAATATTTTTTCCCATAATACAAGATTTTCTTTTTAGCTGAGGCAGGGATCTTGCTGATATCCCTGCCAAACAAAACATCTCCCCACCAATGTATCTGAAATGTCTTTAGTGGCTACATCTTCAGTGCTAAGGGATTTGTGGCCTTGATATTTGCAGAGCCTAAGATGGGTAGAGGTGCTGTTCTGTTTTCCTCCCCAGTTACTCAAATGGTGGAAAAAGTTCTTTCCAACTACCCCACACCTTGATCCCTGGCCTCTATTTGGCATATCCCCATGCTGACTTTTGCATATGACCTGGGGGACCTCAGAGAAGGTCAAAGTACTCGGAATATGTCACAGCTCTGTACTTCCTGGGGAATTTTCAGAGGGAAATTAAAATGTGCCTCTCTGTGCAGTCCTCATGCTACAGCCAGCCTGTTTCCCCTGTGCACCTGCATAATTTTTTAGTTTAGCTTCATCAATAGGCAGTCCAGCTCATGTACTCTGAATCCAATCTGCTCTGCGAACAAAACACAAAAAATTGTATGAGTAATTTTAAAAGTGCCTTCCTAATCTAAACTGAACTAGATAAACTGACTATTTGACTATATGAATATCAAACTGCTTATTTGCAATTCTTTGGTTGAAATTCATTTTTACAGAGAATGTGTTAAATGAAAAAAAAATCAATACAAATCTAAGTCTGTTTCTGAAGGATCTGGGACACAAGAAATACTGTTTTGTTGGTTGTTATGTATGTGAAAAATCAAATCATTGTCATAAAAAAATCACTTAGCATGTCTTAAAAATCCAAACGTCTTTTTCTCACTCACCTGGGCGATCCAGGCAAATATTTAGACTGTTAATGTATAAATTACACAGCTTTAATATTAACTCTAAAACCAGTTGCTAAAAACTGGCCACCTGAGAATCACATAAGCATTTTTTTACAAGGAAGAAATGAAATACATTTAAGCCCTCCAAAACGGAAACATTTGCTTCAAGATGAGTGTATACAGAAGAGATTGCTTCTAAATTAGAAAATACAGAGGGTTCCTGAAATCAGACATGTATTTAATAATTATAATATGATGTCATATTTCTGTAACAGCATATTAACTTGAACATATTATTACAGCCATACCATTATTCTGTGAACCTGGAAATATACTGTGGATTTTTTCTTTTTTCACAAAGTGACATTTAAGAGATTTAAGACATTTAAGATCACTGAGGTTATCTGAGTGCGGCTCTTTCAGAACCACTTATTAGTTCTGTCTTTAAAGGTCACCAATAAAGGGTAAAGTTCCTGGCTCTTTGCTTTTAAGTGTATTTTTTCCCTTAATTTTACTTAATGGGGAATATTTCAAGTTGCTGTATCCCAAGAAAGGGATTTTAAAAGGCATGACAATATAAATGGCTGTTAAGTCCACCATGTGTTTTGTAGAGGGACCATGCTATCTTATCAGTAGATCATGCAGATTGTTATCAGTTGCCCAGAAAGGACATGATATTGAATGGCAGGTTTTTTGTTCACTGCTGGCATGTTCCATCTGTGCATCACACGTCTCTATGGCTAGGCTGAATTAACTATAATTTCAGGCATAAGTTTATAGTAGGCATTTTTACAAAATTCGCATATGGCCACATAAGGACTACATTTAATTTTCAACTAGCTACTCAGTCACTAACACTTGTTGATCTGTAATAGGAATCCAGTTTGGACACAGAGAAGGCAGAGCTCACAAAATACTGCATTATAGCGTACAGCAGTAACTGGTGTGGAAGAATAACAGCCCGTTTAGGGAGTATCCCAGGCAAAAGTCAGAAAAGTGTATGGTGGTTCCAATGCAGATTACCAAAATTTAAGAGCAGGCGGGAAGCTGTGAATGTGAAAGGAACTGGGGTAATTCTGGAAGTTGGGCAGGGATATAAACTCTCCATGTCTGTACACTTCAGTCCAGGTCCTATCTGCATGGAATTGCTCCTTCCTGACCAATTTAAGCAGTTGCTTTTGACTCCAAGTTACTTTTCTTAGTATCGAGGGACTGTTAAAGTGGGGAAGGACTTTATTACCTGAGCAACAATGACTCGGCTGCTTGGAGAGCTGAGATGGTAAACAGATTTCCAAATTTTCCTCTGAAGTCAAGTACAGATGGGATGAATTTTGTCACTGATAGTCTTGTCTCACCACCATTACATGTGTCAGAACTTTAAAAATAACAAATGATAAATTAAGTCGTAAAACAATCATTAAAACTTCTTCCAGTTCCTCATTTGATCTACAGAAAAGGCCTTTTGGACCATCAGTTTTCATCAAACAAAGCTGATTGATAAAAGTAGTTCAGTTCTTTTCTATTTTTGAGACAGCTCACACCCCAGTGAGGCCCAGCTCAGCAAATGCCTACACACAGATAAAACATATGTCAATATGGCTTTCCATGAATGAAGCAAGTCATTAATGAAGCATACAAGAAAGGTTCAACAGCTGGTTACTTGTTGCCTACTTATGAAACCCACACCAACAGATGTATTGATTCTATTTCTGCAGTTCAGAGATACCCAAGAGTTTATCACCTTTGCAATTAGGGGGGCAGATCAAGGGGCCATTAAACACTAAAATCTGAATAGTAATGATTATAACTATGTATAATGAACATATCTTTAAAGGCGCAAGAAATATATTCCTAATCACATTGACTGGACTTATGTACCGAGAGTTTGTGATCTGTGAATATGTAACTCGTAGTCAACTTCTGTTGTTCTGTTGTCAACAAGTGACATGTTTCATCTACAGGAGCTTTTACTCTGCTTCACACCTACTGATCAAAAATTTTAAATAAAAGGTTAAAAAGTGAATGCATGTGTGGAAATAAAAAATTACATAGTCATGTGGTATTCAGTACATTTATAAAACCACAAAGAGGGTTTTATTCTACATCACCATGCCACTCTTAAACTTAGAGCGTTTAAGGAAAGCTATTTCATCATTAAAAACCAATTGGATAGCTTTGCTTTTTCTAATATATTGTCTCTTTTTTAACATACTGGAATACTGCAGTCCCATTTATTATGAGAGCTATCACTAACAAAAGAAAAATGGTCTTCAGCCCGCAGAAAACAATGCAGATTTGCAGTAAATGACAATTTTGCTTAGACGAAAATACAAATTCAATATGCCTTCAAGATCAACTGTTATTTTTAAATCCTTCCTATATGAGGACACACTTGTCTTCTAGATAATGACCTGTGAACTCAGAAATAGATACGGTGCCATTAGATGTTTCACTATGACATTTGCATAAACTCTATTTAACGAAAGCATGTGTTGCAAGAAATATTTACCATTCTAAATGTTTTTCCTCCTTCCTTTTCTTTCATTCTTTTTTACTTGACCTCTGCATATAGTAGGGATATGCTTCTACATGATTTACTAATACTATGTTAAGAGGCCAGGTAAAACGTGCCAGAATTAAAGAGGAAATAAAACTCATCCAAAAATAAAACACAGTTAAAAACCTGAGTGGCTCAGTGGAGAAGATATAGAGGCTATCACTGGAAAAATTTCTGTGTATAAGAATTGGATATCTTGTCAAATGAAGGAAATAGGAATGTCAGTAAGATGTAGAAGGTCAAATGTAAACACGAATTCATGAGAGAAAAAAATGAGTTTGAAGAAGTTCTTTCAAAAGATGATGAAACCATTAGCAAAATCTCTTTAATTACATCAGATAGGAAACAGAGCTAGGGAGACAGTGACATTATATGCTGACAAAGGTTTAAAACAAAGTATTGGGGGATGACAAGACCACAGCAGAGAAGCTCAATGCATTTTTGAATCAGACTTAACTCCTGAACACCCTGAGGAGAAGCTTATATTTAATATTTATTTTTGTAGCAGATGAGTAAGAAGAGTAAGAAGTACATATACAGGAATTATTAGATTAAATAGAGTGTAGATGTCAATATGAGTGGATGAACACTGAAGGAAATAAGATGTGAAGTTTCAGACCTCGTGGACAGGTTGCGTTACTTTTCATTGCAAATTGCTACTCTGCCAACAGACTGTCAACTTGCCGCTATATTTGCCATCTGGAAATGTGGCTGTGGGGAAGATCCTGG